TCAGTTAGGCCCCAAGGATGAGTTTTTCCGCTGAGAAGTTAGAAACAGACCAGGTCATTAGTTCTCAGAGAGAAGTGTGGTGATGACAGCATGGGACTCACCCAGCACTTCTGAGTCCAGTGTGGATGGGTTCGAGCACCTGACGGTTTGGACATGTAGTTTGGCTGTGGCTGGCGGTGGGTTTGCCCAGCATCTCAGCTCCCTGGGGCACTGGTACTCAGGCTTAGGACAGGGCCTTCAATTTTGAATTGGCCCAGGTTTCACATTTCCTTCAGCATGGAATATTCTTACAGCTTATCAGAAATCCTGTTTTGTTGTTGTGTTTCTTAATATAGGTAATCCCAAGCAATTCTGCTGCCTCAGTGAGAAAGGGTTTTCCGCCTTGGGTTCTGCCTTTGTCTCTAGCTGCTCTGCTCAGATGGCTTGATTAGAGCTGGCCCTGAGCTCTCCCGCACTCGGAGAGAAGCGGCTGGGGATCAGGTTTAAGGAAGGACTTTGGCAGAAAAGCAGCCCCCTTCATTCATCAGGGGAATTCGATTTCATCCTGTGAATAATTGGCTTAGAAATTTTGTGTCTTTGGGATGGGCCTTAGAGACCTGTAAGCCCTGGAGCATGAGAGCTGTGTCTGGTGAGTAGTGGGGTGCTTGCTGCTGTTGGTGCGGGCAGCTAGACTGGCAGAGGGCAGTGCGGACTGGCAGAGTTCTGTGCGCAACACATGCTTCTCAGGTATGAGGCCCTCGGGTCCTGTCCCTGGCCCCATTCTCCCCACCCCTTCTATCCCCACCCTCCACCCCCCGAAGAAGGAACAAGGAACATAGTTGTTTTTTTCTACCCTGGAATCCAGAGGTTCCTTTGCCAAGGACTAAAGGAAAATGAATCAAGAGGCATTAAAAGGGACATTTGCAAAAAATGGTATATGAACTGTCAGAGAATCTATCTTAGCTGCTCGCTAAGAGAGTGAGATAGTACAGTGGAGAGGGTGTTTGCCTTGTACGTGTCTGACTTGTGTTCCATCCCTGGCACCCCATATGGTCCCTTAACCCCCAGACACTGCTGGGTGCGGTCCCCCTACCCCCAAAAAAAGAGTCTGTTCATAGACCGAGACAAAATGAGACCTGCTGAGTCATTTGGCCCCAACCTCCTGAGTCAGTATGCTGCGTCCTGTACATTAGTTTTTGGTGCCCTTTTAACTCCTGTTTAATTGCGGGGCGAGGGCAGTACCAAAATGTGGGGATCATGTAAGATTTGTTTTAAAATAAACTTATGGGGCTGGAGAGAGAATGCAGTGGGTAAGGGGTCATTAGTGGAAAAAAGTTTCAGATGCCCTTTGAGCTTTGCTTACTAATATGAAATTGTTGTCAGTTTACAGATTACATTGTTTAAATTCAGCTGTTCTGTAGACTAGGGCAACCACAACTCTTTCCATTCCTTTTTGCCCCAGAAATGCAACCAGGGTGAGCTTTACATTACACAGATTTGTTACATGGTTATTTTTGAGTTGATCATTTGTGCATTCAGAAACCTTTGATGGGGAGCAGGGTTTCCAGACTCCCGTGTTCAGTGACACGAGCTCCTGAGGCCGCCAGTTTCAGGAGTCGCCGTGGAGCAGTGCTTGACAGAGCTTCTGTCTTGGTCTTCTGACCTATTTGGAAAATAAATTCCCCTGCAAATGTCTGTTATGGGGAGTGTTTTCCAGTCACAACTACTCCTTTTACTGTTGTTTTCTGTCCAGAAAACATTTTAACCAGCCACTCTTGGTCATTCATCGCTTCCAAAACCCATGTAGAAATTTGAGGCGTTAAGAAGTAGGAGGTAGTAGGGTGAGTTGGGCAAAGCTCTTAGCTCTCAGTTACCATGCATAGTTTCATTCTGTGGTCCTGCTGGGATTCCGAAAAGATTATTTAATGATTATTTTGCTTCCTTTGAACAGCATCCTATTTTCTTGCTATATTCTTATATAATCATCATATTGTCATGCTGTTGGTTTCATGTCCCTGGTGGCCTGAAACTGAATGTGTTTTCTTTCAGTCTTTGTGGACCAGGCTTACAGGACATCAGGAGGCCGGTCTTAGCACCGGCTCCTGAGGAGAATTGTGTGTTGGCTATCATGAGAGCCCAGAGCCTCGCAACATTTCCTCTCGGGTGGGGGCCAGGAAGGGGGGCTGGACAGGGAGGGAAATACACAGTGACAGCTGTGCAGAGGAATGCTCTAGTCCCAGCAAGACTGCATCCCAGAATACCTCTGTGCTGTCTTGGAGTGTCCCATGTCTTGCCAGTCTGTTCGGCAGAGGTGCGCACAGAGCAGATGGCCTCTTCCAGCAGCGGCAGGATGCTGTGTCTCGGTCAGATCATGGGGGCGGCCCTGGCAGCCCAGCGGCAGGTTCTCAAAGCCCTCAGATGCTTGCATTCTGTTTTAGTGTGTTCTGTATTTGTGAGAAGTGGTGGCAAATCCCCTCACACGTTTTTTCCTTTATGAAGTAGTTGACAAGGCATAAAATTTGTTTCTGCGTTCCTATATTTTGCCTTCAAAAACTCTGTCAAGTCAAAGATGAAAGGGGTCACTGCTCCAGATGCGAGTTTCCTCACCTTTGGTCTCATGCCTCTCTTCTGAAAGGGTCAAAATTGGCCAGCATGGACCCCAGAGCTTGCTGTTTAAGTCACCTGGTTGCTGTCAGCCCGGCGCTTAGAAGGCGCCTCAGTCTTGGGTGTGCCCTGCCTTTGACTTTCTCTCTCACTGTGGTCTCCAGCTCGTCACTGTGTGACTCAGCTCATTCCTCCCCACCTACCTTGCAGAACAGTTGAACGTGCTTGTGACCAAGCACTTGGGGTTATTTCCTCTAACCAAATGTCTGAGGCATCTTTAGATTTCTAACAGTCTTTGTTTACCATGTAATTCAGCGCCAATTGAGGAGCTAGTAAAACTGCATTACCGAGACATCAAAGAGCAGCAGGGGTAACAGGAGCACCCTTCGCTTGTCAGGGAACCTGTTCGGTTTCTAACAAGTGGGAAGTACCCAGGTGGCCGAGCATTAACCACTCTTGTGCCAGGCAACTCTTCTGTCGCACAGTGTTGACTGTGCCAGCTGACTGGCTGTGTTCTGGGTTGGAAGCAACCACCGCCTATTTGTGGCTCTATTTTGGCCTTTCCTGATGTCCGACGCTGATGGTAGTGAGCTCAGTGAATGGTCATACGGTTCAAGGGGCCCCTAAGCCTGGATGCTCAGTGACTGCCCGTTTCTTTGATGAGGTTCAGGAGCAGGTTGGTGTTTTGTTTCCCTGTGATTTCAGTGATGTGGTTTTTCCGCTTTTTGGAGAAGACTGTCATGAACCCACCCGCCAACAGTGACAGCCAGCAGTTCCTGAACATGGGAGCCCTATCACCAAGTTGCATTTCAAGTTCATCGAGTAGGTGGTCATGATTCCTCGCAGACCCCAGGAGGAGGGGTAGCTGGAGAGAGAATGCAACCTTGGCCTCCTTCAGCTTTCACCTTATCTCCTCCTGGCTTGTCAGGCTTTGGTATACCCAAGCCCTTGCGTGGCTTGGGGTGAACCAGTGTGAATGCTCCACATACTGGCAGGCAGACACTTGTGCTTGCCAGCGCTTTCTGGGGGCGTGGGGGATACGCTGTGGCATTCACAGGTCTGTGGGATTTTCTCAGGTTCACCTGAAGAACTAGGGGATGGGGAAGGATTGTGCCCCTCCCTCCACTCCCTTTTGCTCTTTAGGGGCCCGCCATTAGGGTCTTGGAAGCAAGGGCTGGCAGTCTTTTGGAAAATGGTCCAGGGCCAGGAGAGATTGTACAGTGGGTGATATGCTTGCCTTGCAATGCAGCTGATCCCCATTTGATCCCAGCACCACATGTGGACCCCCAGGACTGCCAAGGACATACCTGCACACAGCCAGGAGTAGACCCCGCGCAGAGAGTCTGGCAGTGCTGTGCTTAGGGGTTACTCCTGTCCATGCTCGTGCTGGAAATCGAACCGCCTGTCTAGCTGCAGCCCGTGTGTTCTCGCCAAGCCCTTGACCGCCAGAATCCCTTTATCTCATCCCCTGTTCATAGTCCAGGATTGACTATTGATCTGTGATGCCACTGATGACTCTCCCAGCCTGCCCTGGGTACAGAATGTAGTCTAGGGCCTGCTAATGGCTCTGAGTCATGGTGTGCCCAACCCTCTGTCAGGACTGCTGATGTCGCCACTCTCAGCTCTTCTGACCTTTCAGACCACAGCGCAAGGCCCCTTGGAGCCTCACTTGTGTAGAGTCTGTCAGGTGTCCTTGTGCTTGGTTGGAATATCGCGTGCAGTGATGTCGTGGCCTCCAGGAGAGTATCACTTCTTTTGTTACCTGAACTGTGGTCCAACATCTTTGCTGTGTGGTCTCTGGTCTTTCCTCCTTCCCTTTGGATCTCTGAGTGGCCACAAGGTGAAGCCTCAGCTTCAAGGCAGAGCAGTGCTGTGGACTCAGCTATTTGCCCTGGACTCTAATTCTTTTTTTGTTTGTTTTTTAGTTTGGGGGTGGGGGTGATGCTTAGACTTGACTCCTGATTCTATCCTCAGGGATCATTTGTGGTGGTGCTCAGGGAACCACATGTGGTGTGGGGCTGAACACGGGTCAGCCATGTGCAGACATGAGCTCTCTCTGGCCCATAGGCTCCAGTCCTTTGCTTCACTTTGTCGCTCTGATGCTCACATCACCACAGAAAGGGAGCTGGACCTGCCTCCTCGGTGCTGCTGGCATTCTTCCAGCCACCTCCCTTAGGCACCCAATCTTCTTGGTCACCTGTCTCCCTCCATCCAGTGGTATTTGTGCCTCTCTGAGCGAGTGTGCCCGATGGTCTTATTTACTCATGTCTCCAATCTGCATAAGGCCTGTCACATTGGATGTTTATTGCTCTTAAGTACTAGCTGAGTAATAAACTTGGTTTTCCTACAGCTCAGTGATGAGAATTGCATTTTGAAATGAGGGTGCTGATGGACTTTTCTTTTCCCTCTGTATCTAGGAAGAAATGTTGGCTCTCTGGCGATGAGAAGTGGCCAGAACTGACCCCGTCCTAGTGAAGCTACACAATGGGCAGCCGGCCCCCACTGATGGTGTCAGCGAGCCGGTGGGGCCCCTGGGGAACACGAGTCTGATCCCGGACGTGGCCGACTGCGGCAGGATGTGTCGACAATGATGATGGCAAGAAAGCAAGATGTCCGCATCCCCACCTACAACATCAGCGTGGTGGGCTTGTCCGGGACCGAGAAGGAGAAGGGCCAGTGCGGCATTGGGAAGTCTTGTCTGTGCAACCGTTTTGTGCGCCCGAGTGCCGATGAGTTCCACCTGGACCACACTTCGGTGCTCAGCACCAGTGACTTCGGGGGGCGGGTGGTCAATAATGACCACTTTCTCTACTGGGGCGAAGTTGGCCGCTCCCTGGAGGACTGTGTGGAGTGTAAGATGCATGTGGTGGAGCAGACTGAGTTCATCGACGATCAGACCTTCCAGCCGCACCGCAGCACGGCCCTGCAGCCCTACATCAAGCGTGCGGCTGCGACCAAGCTCGCATCGGCCGAGAAACTCATGTACTTTTGCACTGACCAGCTGGGGCTGGAACAGGACTTTGAGCAGAAGCAGATGCCGGATGGGAAGCTGCTGATCGACGGCTTCCTCCTGGGCATCGACGTCAGTCGGGGCATGAACCGGAGCTTCGACGACCAGCTCAAGTTCGTCTCCAACCTCTACAATCAGCTTGCAAAAACCAAGAAGCCCATCGTGGTGGTCCTGACCAAGTGTGATGAGGGCGTGGAGCGGTACATTCGCGACGCACACACTTTTGCCTTAAGCAAAAAGAACCTCCAGGTCGTGGAGACCTCGGCCCGGTCCAACGTGAACGTGGACTTGGCTTTTGGCACCTTGGTGCAGCTCATCGACAAGAGCCGGGGGAAGACGAAGATCATCCCGTACTTCGAGGCCCTCAAGCAGCAGAGCCAGCAGATTGCCACGGCCAAAGACAAATATGAGTGGCTGGTGAGCCGCATTGTGAAGAGCCACAACGAGAACTGGGCAAGCGTCAGCCGCAAGATGCAGGCCTCCCCCGAGTACCAGGACTATGTCTACCTGGAGGGCACCCAGAAGGCCAAGAAGCTCTTCCTGCAGCATGTCCAGCGCCTGAAGCATGAGCACATTGAACGAAGGCGGAAGCTCTACCTGGCTGCCCTGCCACTGGCCTTTGAGGCGCTGATCCCCAGCCTCGAGGAGATCGACCATCTGAGCTGCAGCAAGGCCAAGAAGCTGCTAGAAACCAAGCCTGACTTCCTGAAGTGGTTTGTGGTGCTGGAGGAGACCCCATGGGATGCCACCAGCCACATCGACAACATGGAGAACGAGCGCGTCCCTTTCGACCTGATGGACACGGTGCCTGCCGAGCAGCTGTTCGAGAGCCACCTGGAGAAGCTGCGCAACGAGAGGAAACGGGCTGAGATGCGGAGGGCGTTCAAGGAGAACCTGGAGACATCGCCCTTCATCACGCCCGGCAAGCCCTGGGAGGAGGCCCGCAGCTTCATCATGAATGAGGACTTCTACCAGTGGCTGGAAGAGTCCGTCTACATGGATATCTACGGTAAACACCAGAAGCAGATCATTGACAAGGCGAAGGAGGAGTTCCAGGAACTGCTTCTGGAGTACTCAGAGCTGTTCTACGAGCTCGAGCTGGACGCGAAGCCCAGCAAGGAGAAGATGGGAGTCATCCAGGATGTACTAGGGGAGGAGCAGCGATTCAAAGCACTGCAGAAGCTCCAGGCAGAGCGGGACGCCCTCATCCTGAAGCACATCCACTTTGTGTACCACCCCACGAAGGAGACATGTCCCAGCTGCCCCGCCTGCGTGGACGCCAAGATTGAGCACCTGATCAGCTCCAGGTTTATCCGCCCCTCCGACCGGAATCAGAAAAACTCCCTCTCTGACTCCAACATCGATCGGATCAATCTGGTCATCCTGGGCAAAGATGGCCTCGCTCGAGAGTTGGCCAATGAGATCCGTGCACTCTGCACAAATGATGATAAGTACGTGATCGATGGGAAAATGTATGAGCTCTCACTGAGGCCCATTGAGGGCAATGTCCGGCTCCCCGTGAACTCCTTCCAGACCCCGACCTTCCAGCCCCATGGCTGCCTCTGCCTTTACAACTCCAAGGAGTCACTGTCCTATGTGGTGGAGAGCATCGAGAAGAGCCGGGAGTCCACCCTGGGCCGGCGGGAGAACCACTTGGTCCATCTCCCCCTGACACTGATTTTGGTGAACAAGAGAGGCGACCCCAGTGGTGAGACTCTGCACAGCCTGATCCAGCAAGGCCAGCAGATTGCCAGCAAGCTGCAGTGCGTCTTCCTGGACCCAGCTTCTGCTGGCATCAGTTACGGCCGCAATATCAATGAGAAGCAGATCAGCCAAGTGCTGAAAGGCCTCCTGGACTCCAAGCGGAACTTAAACTTGGTCAGTTCCACAGCGAGCATCAAGGATCTGGCGGACGTGGACCTGCGGATCGTCATGTGTCTGATGTGTGGGGACCCTTCCAGCGCTGACGACATCCTCTCCCCGGTCCTGCAGTCTCAGACCTGTCAGTCGGCCCAGTGTGGAAGCCACAACTCTGTGTTACTTGAACTGCCCGTTGGGCCGCACCGGAAGCGCATTGAACTGTCAGTCCTTTCGTACCATTCCTCGTTCAGCATCCGGAAGAGCCGGCTGGTCCACGGGTACATTGTTTTTTACTCCGCCAAACGGAAGGCCTCTCTGGCTATGCTACGTGCCTTTCTGTGTGAGGTGCAGGACATCATCCCCGTGCAGCTGGTGGCCCTCACAGGCGGGGCTCTTGATGTCCTTGACAATGACCTCAGCCGGGAGCAGCTGAGTGAGGGGGAGGAGATCGCGCAGGAGATTGATGGGCGGTTCACGAGCATCCCCTGTAGCCAGCCCCAGCATCGGCTGGAGCTCTTCCACCCCTTCTTCAAGGACGTGGTGGACAAGAAGAACATCATTGAAGCGGCACACATGTACGACAATGTTGCTGAGGCCTGCAGCACCGCCGAGGAGGTGTTCAACTCGCCCCGTGCTGGCTCGCCCCTCTGCAACTCGAACCTGCAGGACTCGGAAGAGGACCTCGAGCCCCCTTCTTACAGCCTGTTCCGGGAAGACGCGTCCCTGCCGTCCCTGTGCAAAGACCACTCAAAGCTCTCCATGGAGCTAGAGGGCAACGACGGGCTGTCTTTCCTCGTGAGCAGCTTTGAGAGCAAACTCAACAACAAAGTACCTCCACCAGTCAGACCAAAGCCTCCCGTCCATTTCGATATCACCAAGGGGGACCTGTCCTACCTAGACCAAGGCCACCGAGAGAGCCAGAGGAAGTCCGTGTCGTCCAGCACCTGGCTCCCTCCTGATGGCTTTGATCCTTCTGACTATGCTGAGCCCATCGATGCGGTGGTCAAGCCCCGGAATGAAGAAGAGAACATCTACTCAGTGCCCCATGACAGCACCCAGGGTAAGATCATCACCATTCGGAATATCAACAAGGCCCAGTCCAATGGCAGTGGGAACGGTTCTGACAGTGAGATGGATACCAGCTCCTTGGAGCGCGGCCGCAAGGTCTCCATCGTGAGCAAGCCCGTGCTGTACAGGACGAGATGCAGCCGGCTCGGGAGGTTTGCTAGTTACCGGACCAGCTTCAGCGTGGGCAGCGACGATGAACTGGGGCCCATCCGGAAGAAAGAGGAGGACCAGGCTTCCCAGGGCTTCAAGGGGGACAGCACCGTCATTCCTTACGAGACTGACGAAGACCCCAGGAGGAGGAACATTCTCCGCAGCCTGCGAAGGAACACTAAGGTCAGACTTGTCTTGGGGAAGGTGATGTGGGAGCAGGGTGCCTATGTGGGTCTTGGTGAGCATGGATGTGGCCACGCTCTGTTCAGTTTTTTGGGGGCTGTATCTGGCCATGCTGGAGGTCTGCCCCTGGCTCTGTGCTCTGGGGTCGCTACCTGCAATGCTCAGGGACTGTGCCGTGTCTAGGATGCAACCAGGCTGGCCATATAAGTGTAAGGCAAGCACCTTAATCCCTATATTCTCTCTCTGGTCCCAATTATCATGGTTTTCAAAAACAACTCACTCCAGTGTTAATCACCCCACATACCCCTATCTCTCTCTCTCTCTCTCTCTCTCTCTCTCTCTCTCTTTCCTTTTTGGGTCACACCCGGTGATGCTCAAGGATTACTCCTGGCTCATGCACTCAGGAATTACTTCTGGTGGTGCTCGGAGGACCATATGGATGCTGGGACTCGAACCCGGGTCGGCCGCGTGCAAGGCAAATGCCCTACCTGCTGTACTATTGCTCCAGCCGCCACCCCCCTTGTGTGCATGCGCAGGCACGCACACCTTGGAAAAGGAAACAGAATCTTAGATAGCTGTTACTGGCCACTCTCAAGTTATAAGGATGTTAGGGAACTAGCCTGAGTTATCTTTGTCCATACAGTAATTACCAGAATGAGCAGGTCGTGTAGAGCTTGTCAGTGCCCTGACATGTAGCCAGCCAGGTCAGTGACAGCACATTTGCCCCCAAGCCCCAGGATTTAGGACCAGAGGCATAGCTTTGCTATCGGGCACTCACTGGCCTGAGTGAGGCTTGACCCCAGCACCATAGGAAAAGAAGGAAACAAACACCAACACACACAAAACACAGGATTCAGAAGTGGGGTTGGGGGATGATAACCCCAGAGTGTCTGGTCAGAGGGCTCTTGAGTGCAGGCTGCCCCACACTGTCACCTGGGTGCTAGTCTGTGGCCCTTAGGGACCGAGAGTTGTGCTGCAGGACCCTTTCCAGAAAGACATAGCTACTGTGTTCCCTAGTAGCATGCAGGAGCTTCCAGAACATTCTTACCTATGCAGTGTCAGAGAGGCCAAGGCAGTGTCCTAGGCAGTGTTCCCCTCCCCCTCCATGGAACACAGGTGGGGTCTCTGAGAAATTTCTCGGGGTCGATTTTCCTTTTCCAGTTTTTTTCAGCTTTAGGTGGGATTCGGGTGTCCCCGAGGTAGGGAGCAGCAGGTGTGTGTCCTTGGTTCGGTAGCCTGAGTGCAGCCTGCCTGCCTGCCTCCTCGGGTTTCCCCAACTCTCCTGGAGAATCACGCTGCATGCAAACATCTCAAACATTGTGACTTTGTTCTCTCCCTCTCCGTTCCCGTGCAGAGCTGTCAGAACACTTCTCTGGGGGCTGCCAGTCTTCTGCCTCTGGGGGGTTGGGGGTGGAGATTCTCCCAGCACACTGTGAATGAGAAAGGTCTTTCTGACTTGCAGCTTTGTCAAACACTGGGTGAAAATAGTGCTTTTGGGACACCTCAAACAAGCATGCTTTAAAGCATGACAGCTGCGTGCTCTGCAGGAGCGGCAGGGCGAGCCCTGAGCTCAGCTTGTAGGTCACCTGCAGCTCTCAGCTCGCCGTGGCTGGGCCGCCCCCTATACTTCAGATGAAATGATCCTCAGGTCCCGAGAGCAGCAGCCTGGCAGGCATGAGTGAAAATCACTCTGGAAATCACTGCTGTTTGGGCCGCAGATGGACACTTGTTTTACTGGAATGGTACCATGCCATGGGCTCAGGAGTGCCCGGCCAGAGCCCAAGTGGGGGATTTGGCCTGTGGTTTCGAGTAACACTGCAAAGCTGTTTCTGTAGAGCCTATGGGGCACACTGAGTGCCTTCGACTTGGCAGACCCCCACCAGAGACCTGGCACAACTCTACTCATCCACAGCACACCAGGCACTCGGGTCTGCCTGCCCGGGTGGACTGTGGAGGTGAAGAGGTGCAGGGGATGAGGCCGGGAGCTGAGACTACAGAATCTCAATGTGTCCGCTGCTCTCCACAGTGCTGGCAACAAAGGAGGGAGCCAGCGTGCCCCACCCAGCCCCTGTGCATGCGGAAGCAGGTGGAGTGATGAGAATGAGGGAGGGGGGCAAGGATCTGCGAGGCCTGAGGGTTGGAACAGGCACGTTCTCGGAGAGGAAAAATGTGGCCAGGGCTGGTCTCGAGAAAGGATCCTGGTAGCCCTGCCCTTTGTCCCATTTCATCCTGGGTGTCGCTGGGCCATTTTCTCAGCACTTACCCTAGCAACAGCCCTCACAGCAACAAGGGCAACTCTGCTCCGGGTCCCCATGGGGTGGGGACAGAGAGGAATCGCCCCGCGCCCGAGGTTTCCGTGCCAGCGCGGCTCTCTGCTGTCCAAGTGGGGCTGGGAGTGAGGGGTGGCTTTCATTCCCGCGCATGAAAGTGCAGCCTGTGAGCGGGTTCTCACTGGGGCCTCTTCCCAGCTGAGCCATTGAGCAACCCATCCTCATCGTGGGTGCCTTCCGCACTCGGTGAATGAAACGCGCAGCAGCGCTCACGCTGGAGCGGGGCCCTGAATGGCCGCTTTGTCCGTCAGGAGTCGCCGTGGCACATACGTGGTCCCTGTCCCCGGGTGCTGTGAGTTTGCAGAGATGAGATCAGGACCAGCAGGGTCCGAGGCGAAAGCCAAGAAGCAGGCCTGGGAGGCTCGCTCCACAAAAGGTGCCTGTGGGACCAGCTCGAATCTGCAAACGGAGCAGGTTCCACCAGGGACTTTTAAAGACCTTTCTTGGCTCCTTAGTCTTCTGCCTGATGTGCTCGTATTTTTCTGTGAAAACACACACACAAAACAGAACAATAAAGAAAATCTTTCACTCACAGCAGCTACCGCATGACAAGACAACCTATTGAAAAACAAACCGATTCAATCACTCATTGTTCGGCCTCTGAGAAGCCCAGTAACCAGTTTGACAGTTTGTGAATCGGCTTATTTCATTGGAGCCTGTGAATTGGCTGGTTGTTGTGGCTTTGTGTGGGACACAGCTCTCATTTTGTGAGGCCAAGGACGGAGTTAGGGTTCCTGGTGTGAATAAAAACCAGCTGGGGAAAGGGGGCGTGCTTTGTCGAGCTCTGTGACACCCCGGGTGCTGCAGGCGAAAGAGCCCTCAGACATGTGCTGGGGTGCAAGTGACCAAAAATGTTCATCATTTATGTTTGTCACACCCAGCAGTGCTCGGGGCTTGTTCCTGGCTCTGTACTTGGGGATCACTCCTGGCAGGACTTCATGGGACCCTCTGGGATACTGAGGATCGAACCCGGGTCGGTATGTACAAAACAAGCACCCTCCCTGCTGTGCTCCAGCTCCCAAAAGTTAATCTTTTTAAAGAAATCTTTGGCCCCAGAGCCCATGCTTGCCCATCCCTTGCACGTGGCTCATTCCAGTCAGTGCCTGGCATCTCGTGGGCACTTGTGTGCTTGGCCATGGTGGGGGTGGACGGTTTGGAGCCTACACTTTAGTGCATTTTGCAATGTTACTAGAGTGCAGAAAGTAGGTGCCAAGTAAGCGCAGAGCTTCCACCTGAAACGCAGCTGGCCATGGTGGGGAAGCTAAGTATGGGGCTTGAAGAGGGAGGCAGGCAAAGGCTGTGAGGTGCCTGGAGGACATCTCAGACAGCAGCGTTGAGTTAGGGTTCAACAAGACATAATGCATCCAGAGTGCCGGGGTGCAGGGCCCCCAGACCACACAGGCCCCTGAAGCCCTTGTGGGGTGTCCCCCACACCCTGCTTTGACATTCTTACCGTAGGCATTCCTCTGGTTCTCTTCCCAGCCTGGATGATGTGGGGTTTGAATTTTGGGGCCATGCCTGGTTGTACTCAGAGATCACTCCTGGTGGGGTTCAGGAGATTCTCTGTGGGGCCCGGGACCAGACTCAGTATGTCTGCGTGCAGGGCAGGAGGTTACCCTACTTGCTCTCCAGCCCCTGGAAGGTTTTTCTCCATCCTGGTTTTGGAGCCCAGGCACTCGTGACTCAGCATGCTGGGGCGCCCTACTCAGCCTGGTCCCCACACGGAGGCACTGAAGCTCCCCAGCTTCGGTCCCCGGGGGAGCCCCATGTGCTGGGACCGCTCCATTGCGTCACTGTCCTCTTCAGACAAAGGGCTCATGCTCTGGTTGTCTCCGCACACGCTGCCCCTGACAGCAGCATGGTGCTGTCCGTGTCTGGCCTGAGAGTCTCCCAGCATAGAGGACAAAAAAGGCCTGCAAGCAACTGTGGCCCTAAGAAGCGGTTCCGAGCTGGTGCCATTCATTTCCCAGTTTATTTCAGGCCCAGAAAAATGCTGCACTGTGTTCAGAAAATAGACCATCTTTGCCTCTTGGCCTTGACTTACAGCACACCTGTTCTTGTAAAACAGAAAGAGAAGAAAGAAAATGACATCAGCACCCCCTCCCTCATGTTCACAATTTTGCCCTCTCCCACTAGCAATACCGAAGTGCCTCCATTAGGAATCAAGGTCTCGGGGGCTGGAGAGATAGCACAGTGGGTAGTGTGTTTGCCTTGCATGCGGCCGACCCGGGTTCAATTCCCAGCATCCCATATGGTCCCCTGAGCACCGCCAGGAGTGACTCCTGAGTGCAGAGCCAGGAGTGGCCCCTGTGCATCGCCAGGTGTGACCCAAAAAGCAAAAAAAAAAAAAAAAAGGAATCAAGGTCTCCCTGCTCTTCCCTAGCCAAGCCGAGGGGTGGTACAGAGCGCCCCAACCTGCAATCGGGCTGACCAGATTGACCAGATGCAGGCTGGGCTCAGCTTGGGCATCTGTAAAATGGGGACTTGCCCCCCCCCTTGCTAAGCCCCCTGTACCCGGCCAAAGGCTGAAGGGGTGGCCCCAGTGCCGTGCTTCCAGCCCATTCCACGGGGCTAGGGGCCTGCCTATGTTTTCCCACCATGCCATCGGGAAGGGTGCCCATAGACGTGGCCACTCATAGTGGCCTTCCTCTTGGGTTTTCTCTCACTGTT